GGGGGGACTTTGGTAAAAATTAATACTGGGGAAACCAAGCAAACACTATAAATTTCATTCCCAAGTTTCAAATCTTTCCCTTTATCTAACCTAACTCTCTCGCCCTTGAACCCTTGACCTTCCAGGTACCTCCCCTCAATCTCGGCAGCTGGTCACTCGGCAGTGCTGCTCGCTAACGCCCTGTCCCCCATCATGTTTCCCGCCATCCAGCTGTCCCACTTCGGAGCCGCCTACACGACCATCGCCATCTCCATCGAGCGCTGCATCGCCGTGACCACGCCCTTCAAGGTTTTCCGCTGGCTTACCACCAAACGCGTCAAGGTCAGAGGGTAGCGTAAACTGTTGGTTGTTTTTGAGTTAAAAAAAACAACGAAAATTGACAAGAATTAACAAAGTAATGCACTGTTTGCTTGAAGCTTTTCTTCTTCTTCTTTTTTCGTCGTCATCGTTGTCGTTGTCGTCGTCGTTGTCGTCGTCGTCATCACCATCATCACCATCATTCCTGAATTCTGGCAAAAGCTACATCTCTGATGGAGATTCGGAAACCTTTTCTATTCGAATGGAGCCTCTAGGCATTGGAAAAATCTTATCTAAAGCTTCCGGTGAAATCCCTCTCTGATTATAGCTGTTGTCGCACTCTTTGCGATGTCCTATTTGTTGTTCACATGATTAACAGCGCACAGATAATCAGAATTCGCATGAGTTGTTGCATACGTAGAGGAGTTTTTGGTCTGCTTGTCTTGAAATTTTGTATTGAAACACTTTGAGGCAGAATTTTACGTGTACTGTTGTGTTTTGAAAGACTTTCGCAATAGTGGGGATGGAGAAACAGGAGACGGAAAAAGAGGAAAACGAATATGAGTAGAGGAAGTGGATGAGGGCTTAGAGTAAGAGCACGAAAAGGGGCATGAGGATGAGAGGAGGAGGAGGAGGAGGAGGAGGAGGAGGAGGAGGAGGAGGAGGAGGAGGAGAAAAGGAATTATAAGGGAGGTGGTCGTGGGGTTGAGGGAGGAGGAGAAGGACGTTATATTTCAGTAGCTCACTGATTCGCTCACCTATTCAGCTCGCACTATGTAACACCATTATTTATTTTGCCACCCACTCATTCACTCACTCATTCATCCACTTACTCGTCTTTTTATCCACTCACTCACTCATTCATCCACTCACTCGTCTATTTATCCCCTCACTCTCTCATTCATGTATTCAACCCCTCACTAATTAATTCATACACTCACTCATTTTCTCCCTTTCATGTTCTCTTCTCTTACAGCTAAGTAAACTCCAAAAGACTAATTAATCAAACACTTTCTTTAACTACGCAATAATTGATACTTAACTTCTACACCGAGAGGTCTAAGGAATAGGCCTATAGCTAGTCTTTTCACTCACCTAAAAGATGAGGGAGGTGGGTGTGGTAGGGGTAGACTTAGAGATAAATAATCATTACTTCCGATTATTATTATTACTACTTCCATTTCCATGCCAGTGTTAGATTTGAAACACCTCTATAGACCCCCCCCCCCTTCTTTCCCAAATTCTTAGATTAAAACCTTTCCCTTGGCATTGGGCAACAGGATGGGTCCATATGTGAGGCATCGTGGTGGAATCAGGCTCTCGTCAATTTTTAGGCATGTAGGGTTATTGGTACCACTATAAAGCTTGTTTACTTGTCTTTATTTGGATGAAAAAATATCCATTTATCTTGAATACAAGTTGAGATATTTGCGAATGAAGGAGATGGGGGGCACCTGTTTTCAGAGGTAAAATTAGTGAGAAAATGTCCACCAAAGATAAGTTATTTCCTTAGCTTAAGAGTCCGAGGTAACTGAAAATTAACATTTTTTGTACGTTTTTCAGAAAAGTCTTCACAGAAGTGATTTCTCTAATGGGCATGAAAGGCATTGAGTCAAAAAACAAAAGTTTAATAAAAATTCACAAACCTGCGGAAAAATGCATGTTTCTTCACTTTGATTATTTTGACCAGAGCCTGATTCCACCACGCTGCCTCACATATCCACAAGTCAGCCATACACTAATGCGGGCTAAAAGATTTCTTTTTAAAGGGAAAGATTATCGGTAGAAGTACATCCCGACCGCCTATTCTTAAAATAAGTTTAGATTATCGTGTCGTTCACGATTGACGTCATAGCTGCCCAAATGTAGCCATACAGAGAGGGGAGACGCCGGATGTGACAATCAGGTCAATTAAATTCCAAATAAGGGTTCACATGAACTTTTACCCTGTTTCCAATGAAGCCCCCACCCCCTTCTCCCTCTCCTTTGGCACTCACCGACAGGACAGAGTGTAATCAGGTATACAAACGTCATCTTCAGTTCACAAACTCAGTCAAAACAAAGATTAAAAGTGAGACATGAACTGGTGAACCCCTTCAGAACACCCTTCGCCTTCACGTACTTAATTCGTTTTCTGGGATTAGTGTACCAAGAAAATAGTATACGTTATTTGAATAAGAGCATCCCTAATCTCAATTTATTTCTCTTCCCCTCTTCGTCGCTGTTATACTCACTCGTTCGTTCTCTCTCTCTCTCTCTCTCTCTCTCTCTCTCTCCCTCTCTCTATCTCTTTCTCTTTCCTTTAGCGCCCCCCCCCTCTCTCTCTCTCTCTCTCTCTCTCTCTCTCTCTCTCTCTCTCTCTCTCTATGTCTGCTCTCTCATCCTTTCTGATTCTATCTCCGTCGTTTTTGCTTTATTGTTCACATACATAAATACATTCTCTCTCTCTCTCTCTGTCTCTGTCTGTCTGTCTCTCTCTCTCTCTCTCTCTCTCTCTCTCTCTCTCTGTCTGTCTGTCTCTCTCTCTCTCTCTCTCTCTCTCTCTCTGCCTTTGCTCCACCCTGTCTCTCTCTCTCTCTCTCTCTGCCTTTGCTCCACCCCCCCTCTCTCTCTCTCTCTCTCTATCTCTATCTCGCTGTCTCATTTCTTTCTTGGAAATGCACCTCATACCGAACAACAAAGCTCACCAAGTGCCCAAAACGTGAAAGTCTGAGAGAAGATCGCGAACGTACTCAGGAGCCCACGAACTCTCGCCTGTAATTTCACAGTGGCTGTCTGTTTTTAGTGCCGAAAGGCTGTCTACTCGTAACACGACCTCACGTCTTTCTTAGTATTGACGTCATCCCAGTAGCCGAAGGTGTTGATTGTAAAGAGCCCATATCTAGAAAAATATTCCACACTAGATAGCTGAAAAAGAAATTGGTCGGATCCAATCATTTCTTTTAAATTACTTAGAAAGATTAGAGAGCTATTTTGGAAGATAGATTTCCTTTAAACTCTTCCGAAAACGTACTTTGGAACATACGAGAAGCCATAATACTGAGTTTTGTAATGGAAGTCTACACATCAATATTATAAAGCTTGTTTTTTCTTGAGAATCTCAGACTAGTCCATTTTGCAACCAGCACGCCATCTGTCAATCTGTTTAGTGTTAGTAATTCTCACGCACGATTCAGCTTAGGATTTGTGGTCCCTATGAGTACATCGTATCGACCCCCGCTCCCCCCCCCCTGCCACACCAAATCCCACCGCTAGAGGTTTACCTCTTTGAAACTTTTAAATACTAAAAAGGGGAGTGCGTAGAGCCTGTTAGTTCGTAGCTTTTATTTGTATTTTTGTTGGTACATTAGTTTCTCATTAACTGTATAATTAATTATTTCGCGCATTATGGTTCCTGGCTCTTCTTCAAAATCTTTTTGATCATACTTGTCATAATATTAGATCTATTATTTTCTCTGGTCTTCCCTGCCCAGGGGGTTAAGCCAAACCTGACGAGACTGGCAACGCACAGTTAATAAAATAAAGCACAAATATATTTTTACCAAAATCCATAAAGGAACCTTCTTAGTCTTTGTTCTATGTTACATCTTGTAATTCATTTTTTTTATAAAAGGCATTTGAAATGAGGTGTTTCGAGTGGCTACCCAATGGTACTCGTATAATATAATATGTGAGGCAGCGTGGTGAAATCAGGCTCTCGTCAAAATAATCAAAGTGAAGAAACTGGCATTTTTCTGCAGGTTCGTAAATTTTTATCAAAATTTTGTTTTTTGGCTCAACACCTTTCGTGCCCATTAAAGAACTCATTTCTGTGTGGATTTTTCTTTAAAACGTTGATTAAAGGCACCAAAAATGTACATTTTTCAGTTACCACGGACTTTTAAACTAAGGAAATAACTAATCTTTGGCAGCCTTTTTCTCACTAATTTTACCTCTGAAAACAGGTGACCACCCACCTCCTTCATTCGCAAATATCTCGACTTGTATTCATGATTAATGGATATTTTTTCCCTCCAAATAAAGACAAGTGAACAAACTTTAAGATGATACAATTAACTCTACATGCTCAAAAATTGACGAGAGCCTGATTCCACCACGCTGCCTCACAAATATATTTTTACCAAAATCCATACAGGAACCTTCTTAGTCTTTGTTCTATGTTACATCTTGTAATTCATTTTTTTAAAAGGCATTTGAAATGAGGTGTTTCGAGTGGCTACCCCATGGTACTCGTATAATATACTATCTTTCTTTTCCTCGTTTACGTGTTCCTCCTTTGCTGGTTTTGTTAACACTTGCATCTTTTCTACATTTAGCAGGAGGATATTGGGTTTTTTTTTGGTTTTCAGTAAAGTGTTTTACGGCGCTCGCAACTGCATAAGGTCATATGAGCGCGCGGGGTGGTCGAAAGCAATACATTACCGTCTACATTAACGTCTTAGCCCTAAGCTCAAGGTTGTCGTGCTATAGGCAGGCGTGCGTTGGGGTACCATAATGAAAGAAATAAGTTAACTCTCTGTCGTGATTGGGACGACCCACCGACAAGTCTGTAATCGGCTTTGGCTCATTGCACCTCACCATGGTGGCTCTAGACACAAAAGACAATCTTTGCAAGTTGAAAGAATAACGTAGTTTGGTTTGGAATCTATTATTTTTTATTTCTTCGGTTTTCCCTGGAGTAAAATATTTCACGGGTCCATTGTAAAACAAGCAAAATAGCAAAAGTGCTGTTTGTGTAGACAGAAAGCGGTAAATGATGCAAATTCGTGGTCGGTGTATTGTCTCAGAAGAAAGCTATAACAACATGAGACAACAGCATTCGTTTCGTTTAAAAAGCCCCGCTCACCCCCCCAACCTTGTCATTGTGTAAAAAAAAAGACACACACAAAAAATAAAAAAATCAAACAGTGAAGAACGTTTTTGATCTTGAGAAAACTCGCGGGAAATTCTTTTTTTTTCTTTTCTTTTCTATTTTCGTCATTGATCACACATTTTTTCACCTAAACCGAAAATGGAACCTAAAT